GACAGAAATCTTCATACTCTGATGACGGAGGCAGTATGACCTCTGAAACGATGGTGGACATATACCAGACTACAGGGCGCAACAACCCAGAAGACAGAAATCTTCATACTCTGATGACGGAGGCAGTATGACCTCTGAAACGATGGTGGACATATACCAGACTACAGGGTGCAACAACCCAGAAGACAGAAATCTTCAGACTCAACGCCGTGAAAACCTCAAATCCTACATATATTTAACTTTATGAACTCGATGTTTTGAGATAGTGAGCTATTTGCAAGAAATGTCAACCCACACGAGGTGTTCTGAATACAAAGTGCAAACACACACAAAATTTTGAAATCAGTTTTCCAGGCCTGTTCACAACTGAATGTTGCAAAAATGTGACTGTTACATTTGTCGCATCTGTTTTAAAATTCAGATATAATATTATATAGCACTAAGTTGCACACATTTTACAGGTTGTGTCATGTACCTGTGAACATTATCCTGCTGATGATGTATGACACTCTGCCCTCCTGTTAAAACTAAACTCCCCCTTGATAGGTGTAAATTACAAATTTCATTTTGGGAAAATGTATTTAGCATTCCACATATTTACTTGCTCGATTTTATCAGTCTAATCACAATAAAATATTATTATTAAATATTAAAATGATGCTCTCTATCGAAATGTTCGATTTATATCAGAGCATCACCTTTTACTCTACATGTTTCGGTTCTAAATGAACCATCTTCAGGTGTATAACCCATATAAACTCAAATGTAATATCCTAATTATATTATTATTATTAAGTGTTCTGTCTTACGACAGGTCCATTGCTCTGCCCAAAAAGAGCTCTCCAGTTGTCCCTATTCTCGGCTTCTCGCTTTAATTCCTGGAACGTCACCTTCTTTCCTTGTTTAAGGTCGTCGGTTAGCTGTATCAATCTTCTTCCTAGTCCTCTCTTTCCTTCAACCTGGCCTTCGGTGATATCACTCATTAATCCATTCCTTCTCATAATATGTCCCAGCCAGAATATCCTAATATTTAATAATAATATTTTATTGTGATTAGACTGATAAAATTGAGCAAGTATATATTCAACACAATATGATGCAACATTATCATTCCACATATTGTTCATAATTTGAGTGTTTCCCCAGCAGAATCTTTAAGTAAGAGTATGCATGACACATCATTCTTGGTAGATCGTGTACAAGAGTAGCTTCAATTACTTTAGTTGGATGAGAGTGCAAAGAAAATGACACATGTTACGTACTGGTCCAGTGTATAATTTGTGGTTTATGCCTTTGATGTTAGTTTTATTGTCATCTCAATGGAACTCCAGAAAAATTATCCAATAAATAATATAATGAGGACTCACCAATGCTTTGCTGTCTATAACCGGATGACTGACTTTATCTCAGTCCAGGAATGTCTACTTTATTCTCAAATTCCTATGGTTCTTCAGTCTTAATATTTTTTTGTTTTAGTCTTTATACTCTTATACCCGCAGGAGTCGATGTACACATTCATTTATTTATTTAATCCTATTAGACATTTGGTAAGACTCCTTGGATGAGGGATCTGCCCATCGCAAGGCCTCTACCTGTACACAGGACAGCACAACACAGGAAGACGCGGATAAACATCCGTGCCTTGAGTGGGATTCGAGTCCACGGTCCCAGTGCCCATGTGCATGAGGTCTATGCCTCAGACCGCTTGGCCACTGCAGCCGGAAGTCTTAATATTACAAACATTAAACATTCTCTAGCTGTAACAAAATTTGATGAATGATTAAATATCAGTAAAAAAAGACTTGTTCCATAGTCAGCAATGGCATAAATTCACTCTTAGATATTCATCAATTCTGGTACTGTGAAATTATCCAGCATTTAACTGATAAATCAACAGAGCATTGATAGTGTGAATTCACTTACATCCTTAGACAATACCTGATCTGTTTCCTTCAGTAATGGCATACTTAAGGATCTATCTCAATATCTTAGAGCAGGGCCTGAGTGAAACTATGAACTTCGGTCAGGTTAGGTTAGGTTAGGTTGGGTTAGGTTAGTTTAGCTTAGGTTAGGTAAGGTTGGGTTAGGTTAGGTTGGGTTAGGTTAGGTTGAGTTAGGTTAGGTTAGTTTAGGTTAGGTTAGGTAAGGTTGGGCTAGGTTAGGTTGGGTTAGGTTGGGTTAGGTTAGGTTAGGTTGAGTTAGGTTAGGTTGAGTTAGGTTAGGTTAGTTTAGGTTAGGTTAGGTCAGTCTCCAGTGAAGATTCCAATGCGAGACCACATATTATGAAGGAGACTTTACCCCATATACCACATGTTCAGTGGATTTAGATTTTCAGTAAAAAATGTCTATGTACTTGCTACAAACTCTTGTTATTTATTCCTGATCTCAGACCTATGTTGGTGTTCATCCTCGATTAGCAATTGCGTATGTAGGGGAAACTCTTGTAAGTAGGGCCACACAATTTTTCTCCTTATCCAGACAACGTAAATTCTTTATTTTAGCACTGAGATTGGTGATAAACCCGGTCTATCTTCCCTCCTACTTATATCATAACAGCTGTGTGTATATACTTTTATTTAAGTATTTTATTAATTTTTTTTCTTCAAGAAGTAGATATTTGATGATCCACTTTCACAGTAAAGGTATGGAAATTTATTACAAAATGATATCACTGATAATTTCTACACAGTTTCAAACAATTATTGCCATATTCTTTCCGACTGTTTACTCAACAGGTAGGTATTAAAACCAGTATTATTTGGAAAGGTTACAGTGGTGTACCTTGGGCTGTGGCTTAAGGTACAGGCGTGCAAGTAGATATGAACTTTAGTTTACGAACAATTTTTATCTTGCTCTCTAATCTAAATTGCGCAAATTGTTTAGATACCATGGAGTAAAGAACAATTTTAACCTTGTACTTTCATGTAAATTTTAGAGCCAAGGTTGCTCAGGCAGTACAGTGACTGACTACAGACTGGACGACCTGGGTTCGATCCCCAACAGGGGCAGAGAATTTTTCCTCTAGCCTCTGTGGCTGACCCACCCTCTTTTCCAGTGGGTATCGGGGTCCTTTCTCAGGGGGCGGCGCGGCCAGGGTGCGACGCTGACCACTCGACTCTATCTAGTGTCAAGGTTAAGAATGATTAGGAGCTATACCTCCTCTCCTCATAACTGCCTACATGGCGTGTGGTAGGACAGTTTTACTTTTATTTTTTTTTACTCGCTTTCATGTAAATTTATCAAATTTTTTGATGTTACAGAGTAAGGAGGGTTATAAGCAACTGGAACTCAATGAGGTTAACCTTATTGTAGCTGTTGGCACTGTTTAAAACAAAGGATTGTGTGTTAGAACTGCTGCTAACAAGTCTAATACGTCACAAACTACACTTCTGAGACATTTGAGGTGGGAATGAAAAGTTTACATACACTAATAAATGTAAAGTGTGGACAGTGTTCTCTGGAGTGAAGAACATAAGGCAGAGCCAGCAATAAGCACTATGGTCTTGCAAAGAAGAAAGTTATGGAAATGGCACAGCAATATGCAAATAATACATCAAACAAACAACCTGAATCATTGGACATGAATGTGCACACAGGTGATCAATGGTTCGCTGATCTTATAAAGCACAACAATAAAGTTTTCTCCCTGCGAAAACCCCAAACAACTAGTCCTGTCTTGATAGGTCTACAGCTTTCAATAGGTCTGTTCCTAAGTTATTTTTCCAGAAATAACAAATGAAGGCAAAGAGAAGAGATGTTTGTACGTACAATGTTGAAAGGTTTATTTTAATAAGTGATTTTATTTCTGTGATATTTTATTACTTTTCTCCAATTAAAAATGTATATAATATTATAAGATTCATAATACATAAACAAAGTTACATTTTTATGTTTAATATGTTTTATGCAATCAGTTACCATTTCCAGCACATTTTGAAGAGTAGTACCTAGAGGCCCAAAGGCACTTTGTACATTGGTCCACTTGTAAATCTTAATGAAACGACTTTTGAAGTATTATAGTTTCACGTTTTTTACCTTGATTTCCTAAGCTGCAATTTTGGTACTAAGTACAACATATGATAATGAGATGGTCGGCACTTTTAAGCCATTTGAAAAAATCCTGCTCAGGTTAAAAAGGTTTCTTCTGCCTGTCAAAACGTTCGCATACCCACCTCATTT